TCAGCTGCCTGCTGCACTGGTCCTACCTCCTCCTCCAGGTGCGGTGCTTCCGAGTCCACTGCTGGGAGGGGACTAGAAGTGACTCTCCCAGCAGAGAGCCTCCAGGGCCAGAGAAGCCCACATTCCTGGGCCTGGCTTTTGCCAACCAGTACCGGGTGGTGGACTTGGTGGTGGAGGCTGCTGGACCCGGCCAGGATGGCCGTGTGGAGTTCCTGGTGGAGCCTGTCCCCAGGGAGGGCTTCCTGGTGCCTCAGGCGGAGTGGGGCAGGGCGGCCCTGCTCTATTCCTCCCCACGGTGAGCCCACCCCAGGCAGACTCTCCGCACTCAAGACTCAAGGTTTCTTGGTGGCTGCAGCAAGCTGCCCTAGGTCAGGAGGGTCAGGTCCTTAGAGGGTTGCCCCCCAGCTCCGCTGTGGCCTTTGGTGGGGCGTTGGTTGTAGGAAGCAGATTGCTGACTGATGGTTCTGCTGTCGTGGGACCCCTCTGCACAGTGTGTGGTTCCCAGGGTAAAAGGGAAGGATCTGCGGAGGTTTTGTCTGGGAAATTACATAAAGGATGTTCCCTAACAGGCTGAAAGGCTTTGATGCTGAGAACAGTGACCTTTTGTTCCTGAAGACCCAACTGAAATGGTGGCAGGGAGGCTCTGGGGCAGCAAGGGCCCATCGGAGGTCTTCTGAGGTGGCCCTCAGGGTGGTGGGCAGGAACGAGGGCTGTCTGCAGGGCAGGGCGGCAGAGACTGGCTGCACTGCGTGTGTCCTGCCCCCAGCTGGGGAAGGCGGGCTGCCACTGACCAGACCACTGCGGGAGCCAGCAGGCCTTGGCCTCTGCTGCGTCTCCTCCAGGTGACAGGCTCGCAGGGAGCTTCCACTCAGGCAGTGTGGCCCGGGGTGCCTGCCGCCCCTCTCCCTCTGCTCTCTGCCTTCCCCCTCCCTGGCGGCTGTGGCCCGCTGACACTGTCTTTAGGCCTCGGTGGTGCAGCCTGGCCCCTGCTCTCCTTCGTGTGCCTGCGTGGAGTCTGCTGTGGTCATGGACAGGGTCAGAGGTTGGCAGGGTGTCGCCCCCAGGCCACATAGGGCCACTGTTGGGGTTCACCCTCTCTGCCCCTGTCCTCTTTCTATGCTGGGGGCTGGGATACTCTGAGCCCAGCTGGAGGTCTTACCTGGGGCGGGATCTGTGGTAAGGGAAGAGGCCACCAGGTGGCCAGTGTAGGGGACTGACCAGCTGGACCAGGCCAGGAGCCTAGAGGGCAGGGGCTCAGCTCTGCCCCCTCCCTCCCTGTGTTCCCTGGTCCTCTCTGGAGTGGAGTTCCATGCTCCTTCCTGACTGAATGTTCTTCCATGTCTCCCACAAGTGAGGACCCAGGGCCCTGGGCAGGGGCATGTCTTCCCCAGCTGGGGGTATGACACGGTGCCAGCCAAGCCATGTCTCTCTAGCTAATCCAAAACTGAGGTCACCAGTGCTGGCCCTCCTGCATTCTAGACAGCTTGGACGGGCTGTTCTGGGACTGGGAGGCCATGGCCGCTCCTGCCGGCCTGCCGTGTGCTCTGCTCCCCGCTTTCTCTGATTTGGATCTCCAGTTTGCCAGTTCCCGGAGCACCTGGAGTGCGCTCAGCCCGGGTGCCCAGAGGAGGCGTTGGGGTGCAGGGCTGGCCGGGCTGCCCACCTGGCCTTGGGGCCCTGGCTGCCAGATGCCCAACAGCCGCCTCAGTGCCCCGTTTCCCCCGTTTCCCGAGACCTGGCTTTGTTTATTTATTTATTTTAAGTGCAAATATTTTATGTAGAGAAGAAGGGAAAATTTATAGTGGCAATTATTTTCTCACAGTCTGGTGAGCAAGCAATTAGAAGTGAGGGGGCTTAGTGGAGCATGGCATGTGACAGAGCCATGCAACCCTGCTCCCCAGGAGCACGGTCCCCAGTCCCAGCCATACAAACTTCTATGCAAGAAAATTAATCTGCAGCATTTAAGCCCGGGCCCCTCTGGTGGGTGTAGTCACTCTGAAATAAATTATCCAATGTGATGAAAAATGAGAGCTCGTGTCTTGCTGAGAGATCTGGCTCCTTCCCTGGCCCCAGCCCACGGCGCTCAAGCTCTTGGTTTGGATTCTGCTGCTTCCCCTCCCATTCTCCATCCTCACTTGCCTCTGGCCACTCTCCCAGCTCTGCTCTGGCCCTGTCCACCCTTGCAGGAGCAAGGGCTCAGAACCTGGAGGTGGGAGAAGCGTGGCAGCTCCTCATGGGTCACAGTTCAGGGCTGACCACGCCAGAGAGGCCGAGTCTTTGGGAGTCCTGGAGGGTCGTCAGCCGCAGACGTGCCGTGTCCACCCCAGCTCTGTGCCCTCTCAGCATCAGCTGCTGACCCTCCCATCTCTAGGCTGCATTCTGCCCCCAGTGAGGTCGCGCTGCCCGGGAGAGGAGACCATGCCACTCCTCCCTTTGCCGGTTCAGTCTGTCCCCGATTAGGGTGCAGAAGGCCAGCCTGGAGAAGAGGGTTGGGACTTTAAAATCTCTTGCCCAGAGGGTCTTTCCCCTCCCCATTGCCTCCTGGTGGGGAAAAGGTGCCTGTTCTGGGTGCAGCCTGCACCCCAGTCCTGTGTGTCCCCCGGTGCCCAGAGCTGCTAAATCAGAAAGAGCTGTCCTGGCTTGCAGAAAGAAATCTTTATTAATAATCTTAATAATAATAATACTGTTAATTTGAATGGTCACACCTTGGAAGCATACAGAATGGTAAGAAAGGAAGCCTGGGGCTCGGCTGCAGTCCTGGGGTGGGGGTCCGGGGCGAGGGGTCTGAGCTGCTGCGAGAAAAGGGTCCAGAACAGCCGAGGGCAGGGGCTCTGCGGAGGGCGGAGCCGAGGGCGGGCTGTGCACAAGGGGAATAGAAAAGGAGGGTCGTCCCAGAGCTTCGGTACTGACGCTGAATAGAAAGTGAGGTGTCGTTTATTTTTGAAGTTTCATGAGACAGTGGAGCTGTGTGGGGAGCCCGTGTGTGGTTTTTTGCTGCTTCCCTACTCCAGCTATCCCTGCCTTGCCGGGGCTCCTCGCTGCCACCGCCACCTGCTCTCTGCACCACCGGCTTCCGTCCCACGTCCCACACCTGCCAGGAGAGTGGAGGGGTGTGGCCCAGCTGGCCTCCCTGTGCGGGGCCAGCTCAGGTCTCCCGCCTCCCTCCCTCTTCTGTGGGCCCTGCCCTGGCTTGTTCCTCTGTACCCTAGCACCGTGACTCCCCACCTGGAAACACAGCTGGGTGCTGGCCCACCCTGGCCCCTCAGCTCCCTGGCAGGGGAGGGGTGGGGAGGGCTGGGTTCCAACAGGTTGGCCTCAGTCCCTTAGGCTGGGCCCAGGGCCCCTCCAAGAAGGGACAGAGATGGCTACTAGGTGCAAGTGCTCTGCCTCAGGGCCCACCAGTCCACCCTCCTGGGCGGGAGTGGCCCCCGCCAGCTGGGCTTCGTCTGCTCTGCTCTGCCGCTGGGCACTCTCACATGGGGCGGAGGGCGAGGGGCACCCAGAGTTCTGGAGCCACATCAGCCCTTGCGTTAGAGTTGGACCCCAGGGCTGCTGGTCGGACAGCTAAGGACACGGACGGCACCGCAGGGCCTGCGGGAGCAACGTAGGTGATGGGGCCATGCTGCAGCCCCAGGGATGACAAGCCACCGGCCCTCCCTGCACCCGCACCCAGCCCCTCCAGGGCACAGCGGCAGCAGATTGCGTCCTGCTGGCTGCTCTTCTGGCTCAGGCCACGCCTGGAGCAGGAACTGGGGAAGGCAGACTGGCTAGAGCCCCTGCTGGCCGCCATCAGGCCCTTCCCCTCCAACTCTCCCACTGCGCCCGCTGGGAAGGACACGTCCCCACAGCGCCGCCATCTGGGCAGGGCCGCTCTCCACGTGCCCTGCGGGCCGTGCTCCTCCGTGCGGTGTGCGACAGACGCGGACTTGGACTCGGTTGGATGCCTCTGGGTTGGTTGGTTTTTTTGTTGCTTGGATCTTAACATCTTTTTTTTTGTTTTGTTTTTTGTTTTGTGATTTTTTTTGTTTTTTTGTTTTTGCCCTTCATGGTCCGAGAAGGAAACGGTGGAAGGTTTCACTACAACAGAAACAGAAAGGCGGCACTTGCAGTTTCTCAGGAGCAGCCAGGCTAGGGGTCCCAGCACCTGCCCCTGCCCGCCGGCCCGCCGGCCCCCACCCTCCTGCAAGCTAGACCTCAGCAGACCTGTCTCCTGGGGCCAGTCAGGCTGCTGGTGGGTGTGCGGGTCAGGCCAGGGCTGTGGGAGGGCAGAGCCTGGCTGGAAGGAGCTGCCTGGGAGCTGGGATGGGGAGAGCGGAGGCCAGGGCGTGAGAGGGAGGTGGCAGCACAGGCCGAGCAGGGGGCCTGGGTGAGAAGGCAGAGTGGGAGGAGGGGTGGGGCAGGGTGCCACTGCGGAGTGGGACAGGTGCGCCCTGCAGCCCTGGCCGCCCTGTAGTCCAGAGGGAGGCGCCCCTTCCACCTGGGGAGGTGCAGACACGTGCCCTGGGCCAGCACCTGGAACAGCCCTTCCTGCCTTGGCGGCTCCCTAGGCTCCCTGCCCGACCTCAGGCCCAGCCTGCATCCCCAGGACTGCCCGCAGTGGGGCAAGGCGTGTCCCTGCAGGCCACGAAGCCGGCCACACAGTCCAAGTGAGGCTGGAGTGGCCATGGGAGACCTGGGGAAGGGCACCCTGTGCTCCTCGCCTGCCTCTGGTGGAGGACTTTCCCCTTCCGGATGGACCCTGGGGACAGTAGGATGGTGCTGCAGCACAGGGACAAACACCCGGAGGCAGGCTGACAGGGCCCACTGCAGTGCTAAAGCGCCACCTATGGAGCAGGGGGGGATCTGCCCCATGTCAGGCCCGGGTCCTGGGGAGGCCCAGGGCTCAGCAGGGAAGGTGGCCCTGGGCCTGGGGTACTCTCTACATGTCCTTTCCTCACGGCAGCACCGAGGAGTCCCAGGGAGTGGTGTGGCGTCGGTAGCCTACACACAGAGCAATGTGCTTGTGACCATGTCATCATTAAAAATTTAATTAGAAACATCAGCCTCAACTGAGTGGGGACAGGGAGGGTGTAGCAGAGCCAGGTGGACCCTGGGGGAGGCGGACTGTGCAGGGGGCTGGCTGTGGCAGCTGTGAGAGAGGCCTGACCCAGTGTTTCTGGAGCTGTGTGGAGCAGGCCGTCCTCTGGGTGCTACTGCTAGTGGTGGGGGCTGCCTGTGCTCCCCAGCTGGCCCCCGCCGTGTGCATACTGTACCTGCAGTGGCTTGGGCAGCACAACATCAACAAAGTCAAGATAGGAACCAAGGTTCAGACATACGGAAAACCAGGTCAAAGACACACACACCGTCATGGGCGGGGTGGGGAGCCCAGCTGGCTGGAGGTAAAATCTATGGGCTTTAGAGTCGCGGAGGGCCAGCGGCGCGGTCGCTGACCGGGAGGGGCGCACTGTCCTCCTGGTGGCTGTGCCTGGTGTTTGGGCTGTAGGGTTTGGTTTGGAATAGGCAGTAGTGTGAATGCTGTTAGGGGCGGGTCTCTTGCTAGTAGGGGGTGAAGCGGCTGTACCCTCCTCGGCAGAGGCTAGCCTGCAACATCAAAGATGGAGAACAGCCAATCAGTACCGTCCTTGGGTAAGGGGAGAAAAAGCAAAAAGAAAAAAAATAAGGAAAAACAAAAAGAGAAATTGCTAAATCCCGTTTGCTTTCCCCTTTTTAGTTGTCCTTGGGAAGAGTGGGTGTCATGTTGTCATGGCAACAGGGGGCAGGGGCCTGGTCCTTATGTGGAGTGGCTGGGGCCGGGAGGGGCACTCCTGACTCACAGGCTTTTGAACCACCCCCTTGTCCTCCGGCAGAGGGAGGTCCAAGGAGAGCCCCACTTTCTCGGCTCCTGACGGGGTTTCCTGATGGCCCAGCTTCAGAGGGCCTCTCTGGGGACTGGCAAGGTCATGGTGCGGGGGGCCTGCTGGGCTGCGCTGGGTCCTGCCAGGGAGCTCTGGTCTCGGGGGCTCCTGCCTTTGCTCTCCTGGGCCTCCCCACCCCCACCAGTTTTGCCAGAAAAAAAAGGGAAGAAAATGGCAAATACAAGAGAAGAAAAACTGGGGGGAAATAGAAAAATCTCAGAAGTAAAAAGTGAAAATACAAGAGGAACCCTCTGAGAATCAAGGAACGCTTTTAGCTAGCAGCTGCGTTGAGGGCCCCTGTGCCGGAAGCCCAGGGCTGCAGCCACGGTCAGGGCCTCGTCCGGGGCCATGGCAGCCTCTCCAGAGCCTGCCCTCCTTGGCTGCTCACAGCTGCTCCGATGTCCGAGGTTTGTTAAAATTTAAAAAAGGCAAAGCAAAAACTGGGAGGGAGTGATCAAAACCAGGGAGGGGTGCCCAGCTCTCCTTCCCCTGGACGCCTCCCTCGACTCCCCAGGATGTTTTCATCTTTGATGCAGGTGGCCAGGCTGGCTACAGACATGTCAGCACCCTGCTGGGGCCGGGGCGCAGGAGGTGGGTGTGCACTGGAAGCAGATTTGGGGCACAGAGGGAGCCGGACCACACGTGGACAGCTGGCCACACACACACACACACACACAGACACACTGGCCACACGCCTCTGGTAGCAGAGGTGTCCACCCTGCACTGCCCTCTTCACCCCTCAGGGAAGAGGCCACTGGGAAGCGGATGCCATTTCCTCAGAAGCCCTGCAGCCCTGGAAAGTCCAGGAGCAGGGGCCTGGGGAGGGACAGTGGGTGGTCTCTGGTCCCTCCCCTACGAGCTGGAGGAGGGGCTGGGCTCAAACACCCCCCAGGGGAAGCCAATCTGCCCCCCAGCAGCAAGCAGCCCCAGCTCTGGAACCTCTGGGAAGGGCAGGGGCTGTGGACAGGTCTCTGGCTTTCCTGGTGGTGGGAAACGAGGGGCCTTGACAGGACTTTGGTTATGGGCTCAGGAAAACAGGTCCAGTGGGGTGCTTCCCATCTGGTCAGACCTGCCTCCCTCAACGGGGAGAGGGTGCCAAGGGGCAAGCCCTCGCCCACCCCAACTCGAGTCCATGCTGCGGTCCTTCCAAGGTCACAGGATGAGGCACTGGCTGGAGGTCTTGGCCTCTCTGAAGGGCCCTTCCCCACCCGCCTGGCCACACCGATGTGGCCTCCTTGCCATGACTGGTGCCAGGGGCCAGGTGGACCCAGACCTCTTACCATGGTTCCGATGCTGTAGGTCGCCGCAGGGCCGATGGTGTGATGGTAGGGGTCAGCAGCTGCGTAGACTCTGCCGTAACTAGGGGAAGGCACCACAGGGGGGCAGGGAGGGGCAGGTGAGGGGCAGCAGGCCTCCCATAGCCTCCAAACCAGTTACCGAATGAACCTCCTTCTGTGGGTCCCAGCCACAGGCCCCCACCTCTCCCACAAGGCCCTCACGGTTCATCCTTCCTCCCTGTTTGGAAGGAAGTTTCTGGAACCCAACAGGACACCCTTTCAATACGCAACGTGTCCTACGTAGCGCTACCTGGAGCGGGGAAGAGTCCAGCTTGTCTGGAAGGAAAATAGACTTCACTTCCCCAAAGAACAGGAACCAAGTGCTGGGAAAAGGTTCCAGAGGAGAGAGGGACCTGGGGCAACCAGAGTCACGGCCACCAAGGAGGTGGCAGTGTGTCCCCAGATGACCTTCCTTCACCCCATTTATCTGCAGTGACTTCTTAGCTCCTTTCAGGACAGGCTGGGCCACGGGACCCTGCCTGCCATGATGCCAGGAGGGCCAGGCCGCCCCAGGTCAGAGTGGGTGTGTGGACCAGAGCCACAGCAGCCCTTAATGAAGTGCTCCTGCCCGGCCCCAACAGGAACTCTGTGTCCACCAGGCCGAGTGACCAAGGGAAGAGGCCCCGGGCACAGCCACTCCACGGGGGAAGTACTCGAGGCCCTGCCTCCTGAAACAAAGCCTGGCATCTAGAGCCTTCCCCCTGGGCCTGCTCACTGAGGGGTGGGGGGCTGGCTGCTCCCAGAGGGTGCACACTGCCTACCTGCTCTCATCCCATTCCGCGGGGGAGGGGCTGGGCACCTTCCCTTCTCTGAGCTAGAGCGTTTCAGCCCTGGAAGTGCTAATGAAGACCAGAGCTGTCTCCAGGGGCCAATCTGAGGCTCCACATGATCTTCACTGGGGCCTGGAGAGCTGCAGGAGGTGTCAGACCTCAGGGATGGGAATCTGCTACTGAGGTGGTAACTGCTGCCTAAGAACTGGGGTTTCCACCATTTCCCCAGTGTACAAATAGGAAGCGACTCAAGTCAAGGGCTCACTGGCTCCAGGGTCTCTGAGCCACACTGGGACCTGCTCTCCTGCTCTCCTGCACCCATGAGGCACAAGTACCCCAGCCCCTGAGTGGCACCAAGGCTTCCTGTGTGTCTGGGCCCAGCCTTCCGGGACCCTGTACTGTCATCTGCCCATGCCTCACCTGTCACTGTAGGCTGCTGCTGCTGCTGCTGCTGGCTGAGCATATCTGTAGGCTGCGTAGCCTCCCTGCGGGGAGGAAGGAGGAAGAGATGGCAGAGGCACTTAGCGAGGCTCACCCAGGGAAAGGCGCTGGGCCTTTCCTGGGGCAGACATACACCCTGTGGGGCTGGGCCCTAGGGCGGGGCTATGGACCTCCTCAGTCCCCAGCCTTTCAAGTTCCACCTTGGCCTGGGGTAGCACAGGTGGTGCCTGGCCTGGGCACCTGGCTTCTGGTCTAATGGAGATCTGAGGACTGTCAAGTGGATGGTTCCAGAAGAAGCAGGGCTATCTGTTCATGCCATTCATCCATCCATTCTCGCACCTGGTAATGCATTCAGTACACTAGTGGGTACCTGCCTCTGGCCGTGTGCTGGCCTATGGCACACCTCAGGTGTCCACAGATCTGCCAACAGGCCACCTCCTGACTTGGGTGCAGACAAGAGAACCCTGGGGAGCTCTGGATGCTAACCTGGACACTAGGAATGGACAAGGGCAAAGGGTTCAAGAAGGCATTAATTCAGAGATGTCTTGGGCTCAGATGAGCAGGTAACGCAATAATGGACGACTGCTCAGGGCAGGGGCAGGGCCAGATGAGAGGGCTCCAAGCCAGAGGAAGCAGTATGTGCAACCCCAAGAAAGGAGAGAGAAGTCATAGGACCCCAGGGGATATAGGCTCAAGAAGAAAGGCAACTTGTGGCCCTGCTTCCTGGCCTCTTTGGGGCCTCCACACTGGACAGGGGTGTTCCTGGGGGCTCACTCACTGACCACAGTGTGCTTAGAAGTGGAAGAGCTGCTACTGCCCCATCACAGTCCTCGCCAAACAAACAAATTGCCTTTAGCTTATAGGGCTGCTGGGAGACCCAATACCACTCCCTCGATGCATACTGACAACCCAGACTGGGCCTGGCTGGACTCCCCAGGGATGCCAGGTTGTGCAGATCAGTGCCCTGGCCCTCTCAAGGATGCGAGGGGGCCAGGAGGAGTGGGGCCACTAGAGGGGACACACTGCTCACAGAGACAAACAGAACAGCCTACACCACCCTCCCCTTCCAGGGCTGCACTTACATAAATCTCAGCACCATAAAATCCATCCTGATACACGACCCTGGAAGCAAACGGACAAGAGAGTGGTGGGAACGCTGGAGAGGTGGGGTAGGCCGGCTCCGGTGTCTGCTGAGGAGGGAGGGGGCACGGTGCCAGCCCCGCCCACGGGACTGGCATTTTAACAAGCGTTTGCTCCAGTGCCCTGTTTGGTATAACAATAGAGTAACACCCTTGCTGGTCAGCTCCTTTCTCCCAAAAACCCAGGGGCCCATCGGCCCAGTCAGGCTTGCCCTCCCCCCCTCCCCCAGGCAGTCCTTCAGCGGGGAGGACACTGGACCACGGGGAAGGACCAGAGAGGGCTCGAAGAAGTGCCTCGCTGGACCCAAGGGCTCACAACTCCCCCCTTGAAAGCGTCCGGACCAGGTTCCGGCGCTAAGCGTCCCCTAAATGCCAGTGACCCTTGGCGGTATCCCCGTGGGGGAGGTGGGGTAGTGGGG